GTCCTGTTTTAAGCCAGGCACTCACATCTCCGCTCCGCTGTGTCTCAGCCACCATCGCCCTGGCAGCAAGAGCGCTAGAGCCAGAGCAGGGGAGAGCTGGAGCAAACCATTTTGGGAGGGGGGGTTATCTATACTTTTGTTGTTAAAATGTTACGTCTCAAACAAGTACAGTACTGTATGCTTTTTATATTTTTAGTAGTGTGTCACACAAACAGCAAATATTGTCAAAAAAAGTAAGAAATCTTTGGGGGTGCTTTGATTCATTTTGGGGGTGCTGAAGCACCCCCAAAAATGGGCTAAAATCGCCCCTGGTTTCAGTCATTATGCAAATGTACTGTTTATAAGATTTGGGGAAACCTGCAGTCAGTCAGCTGAGACTGAAGAAGTCACTTGGATGAGTGACGAAACACAAAACGCTACGTCCAGATGAACAGAATCAACTTTTGGAGATTTACTTTCCTGGATGATTGAGAATGCATCAAGACGAAATTCAATATACACTCAATAAACAAGAACACAGTATTATGGAAAAGTCTTGAGCCACTCCTCATTTCTTTCTGCAATTTGCAAGGCCTCAAACTCAAACTCAAACACACACACACACACACACACACACAGAGAGAGAGAGAGAGAGAGAGAGAGAGAGAGAGAAAACAACTGTATTCATTATATTCATTCTATATAGGCAAACATTGGCTTATTTGAAGTTCAACAGTTTAATTATACAATTTTTGATAGGAAACCAATAAATGTAGCATCATGACGTTAATGAGAGCGTAAAGTCTTTGTCTCTCTGACATAAGAAAAAAAGTGTTTATTTGTTTTGGCAGTATACAGAAAACCAAAATGAAAAAAAAAGTGTGATCAGAGCTTGGGTGTGACCCAGTGCAATACTGTAAGCTGATCTGAAAGCAGAAATAGAGACAGCTTTTTAGGTGTGGTTTCTGTTCACACTTTGACCTCAGCACCGTGTGACTGATCTTTACTGTTTGTCAGTATTGCTGATTTTCCCATAAAGCTGATGCAGTAGCAAAGAACTATCTCAGAGCACTGCTGTCATATAAAAGGCAACTCAGACCATCACAACTTATTATTATTATAACAAAGTGCATAATCTGCTGCAATTAACCCACTAGACTGAGTGATG